CGCTGCTTTTTTATAAGCCGAATATATTGAGTTTCGCCTTTTTTAAACAATATTTTGTTTTCGTGGAAAGAGCAATTTGGCAGCAAATCGAGCGCGAAAAAGCTCTGGCGGTGTGAATAGCCATTCGCACTCACTCAAACTGTTCAATTCGCCAAGATTTTTTGCCGAAAAAGTGCCACTTGAAGCGATTTGACACGGATAGATCATAATTTTGAAACGATAGGAATCTTGGAAGGAGTCCAGCGAAAATGAGCGACCGTCGCTAATTTTTTAATGCACTCTAAGGGTTATCTGAGTCCATTAGGCGCAGGGTCTTTAACTTAAGGGCAGTATTCATTTTTCAGTACCTTAGTGAATTTTTATTACAGCTTTTATGGAACTAATTTTGCCCCTTGGCTGATAGATTGGGTGCGATTTTTTAAAATTATGTCTTGTTTAAGGCGACAGCGGACTAGTTTTTTTGGGGGCTGAAAGTGAATCGATTTTTTGCAGCAGAAACACTTGGGCAACTTCTAGAAAATGATAATCATTAAATTAATTGGAATTAGACAAAAATGAGATTATTTCTATATAAATTGGTACATCTTTTGGTTCACTCGGACGATGAATGCAGAGATGAATGAACTAGATCCGTTAGAGGAGTATTTTTTATTGTTATTTCAGGCGCGAAACGGCAGGTAGCTCTAACAGAAGGCAAAGAAATGGAATATAATCGTTGTACTTATGAAACCAGAGGCGTAGAATCCAACCAAACCAGTTTGGGTATACTATGACAATCATTCGTGACCTGAGTGAATTCTTTAGTACCGCAAATTTCAGTATCCTTCAGAAAAATGCGAATCTAAACAGTTACTGGTTTAAGCAAGTTGATTCACAAGCTAACTATTTTTCTGGAGCTCATTGTTCCACCACTGTTATTAGTAATGTTCATATACAAAAAAGGGGTTGATCCGAGTTGATTTAGCTCCACATTGTTATGTAGCGAGTGCCCAAAGTCACAATCTGTTGTTGAACATATGTCGAGGTATCTGACGTTGATCGGATGGAACAACAAGTCGCTGATTCTTTAATTCGGGGCCCTCGGGAGACGCGTTTGTATCAATATCCGGTTGGTAATTTAATAATTAATCCAACAATTACTACTGGCTGAAATGTGTACTTGAAATTCATAAGCGGGATGTTTTGCAAGACACAACAAGCAAGTTACTGGTCGTTTTTTTGCAACTAATTTGCAAATAAGGCCCATTTGCGGTTGAGCTCCAAAGGCAAACATCTGATTTTTGCATACATGTACAAGAACATGAACATTTGGTGACACATGTGGCCTGTACAATTTTGTGGTTGTTTGGAGAAATCCTCGAAATGCCTGGGGGAAATTCGCGACTTTTTCGGCAAAAACGTATTCTGCTTTGAGAAGCTGAATACAGCTCCAAAGTGCATTGGTTCCATTTAAAGCGTTAAGCATTTTTACAATGTATTTGCCATGGAAAGCCTCTCTAAAACCGCAAAATTACCATAAAAACTGATTTTCTTCTTTGATTCCTGTAGAACTTTGAACACTTTGGCCCTTTGCGGATTTGCGCTAAATTTCGGTGAAATTCAGTGCCAATCCCCTTGCAAAAAAGGGCATTATAGGGATCGAGCAAATTGGTGAGTCAAGGCGACGTCTGCCCTAAGGGGGCGGCACGAAAGGCGTGCCGCAAATATTGCAAGAGTTGAATCCTTTGGAATTTCGGTTTGTTCCTTTTTCGATCAATTATTCCTTTAATTGGCTGCCGAACTGGAATGTGAAACAAGCAAAGGATAATCAGACGATCTCAAATTTTATTTTCGTTTAAATTTTCAATATAAAAATGAACCAAACGAATTTTTTTCGAAGTGAAATTCGTAAATCGCAAAATGAACCGTGACCCATGCAGGCCCTTTATAAGCTCGGGGTGCCGCGCCCACCCTTGCCGAAAATAAGTTATAAATATCTTTGAGAAATTGAATTCTCCTGGGGGTGGGATGGAGATTTTCGCATTACTTTACGACGTGGAGATTAGTGTAAATTAGAGGGCGCCCATTTCGCTTGCTGTAAACATCAATTATTTTCGCCATCAATTTTAATTGATTTGTGCTTTGTTTGCTCCCCTATGTTTCAATCGAACACAACTAATTTCTTTCTTTTACGTTGCTCGCACTTTCAACTGGAAATTTTGTCGTTAAAATCCAGCCCACCCACCTGAACAGTGAAATTATTCGCAATCATTTATGATTTTCAAAGTTCACAGCGCTCAACAAAAGAACAATCAAGTGGATGCTCTCGAAATACAAAGAAATTTTTGGATAACACTCATCATCCCCTTTCACAGCTAATAAAATTATTAAAATGGCTTAACACCCTTTCTTCTAGGAAGAAATTCGCACCCTCACAGGTCTCGTCTTTTGTGTGAAAGTGCTTTGGAAGTTTAGGTGTGAAATCAAATTGGTTGGTTAGAGTTTGCCTAATAAAAAATAATTTCTTCATAATTTTTTTGCTGGACCACCCAATGCCACCAGTTTTTCAGTGTGAGGCTTTAAAAAGTCGTTTGAATTTGAAAGTGATTTTTGTTAATTAAGCAAAGACAAAAGGAGGCATTTTGCCACCAATTGGGATTTTTCTTGAATAAGTTGTTTTCAAAAGCAGAATTTTTGATTTAAAATGCTAAACTTACGAAAAAATTATAAGAATCTGAAAGGAATTCTTCCAACTTTCGTCTTATTGCGGCAAATTACTTAGTTTTAATGATAAATTCAAATTCTAATAACAGAACTACAGTTAATCAAAAGAGTTGGACGCTGAGGAGTTTCTACGACGCTTAAAGCGCTAAAAACTCACGAGATTTTTATGTATTTCTTGTGCCGAGCCCTTCGGGCGCTAACAAAACCTCAAACTTCTCAGTTATTCACTTTTGTCCTTCAATGAGTAACAACAAATCAATAAAAATCTTGTTGCAAAACGTCAGGAAAAAAGTATTTTCTACCACGACCAAAACCCGAAAAATCTCAAAAAAATCCTTGTACTTCGATTATTCTTATTAGTTTTTTGCTGCCCAAATCATTTTCTCATTTTTTCCATCGGTGAGATAAAACAAAAACCAGACCTTTCTGGCGTCAAAAGTTCGTCCCGCCAATCGGTTCCACCTTGTTGACCGGCTTGGAAAAAAGCCGAAAATGTGTTAAAAAATCAGGAAAAAAATCAGAAGCGTCATTGAGCTTCGAAAACTGCTAAGCAAACACCGAAGTGGGCGGGGGATTGATTCGTTTTACCTTATTGATCATGGGCATAACCTTTCGAAAATCGGCCGTGACTTAATTTCGACAAAAATTATATTTCAAACCCAGTTTCTCCTAAAAATCTATGGCTTAACCAAAGAAAACACACAAAATCAATTAAAAACCGCACTCGGTGTTTTTTCTTAAATTAAGCCATCAAAACTGAAATTAATTACCAAGTTAACCCCAGAAAAAAATTGACCAAACACCTTTAGATAGAAGCGCTGAAGATGATTAATTAATCCCCAGTACTCGCTATTGTTAAATAGCATAAAAACTCATTAGTTGCCTAATTTGCCATCAAAATTTCCGATCGGTCTGAAAACGTTTTATCGAGAACCAAATCGAGAAATATTGTCGGGCAATCATCATACCGCACCACTTTTGGGTACCGCTAAAGGAACTAATTGGCGATTAAAAATAGATAATAAACCTTTCAGTGGGTGCTGCAGCAGAGGCGGAGGATTTACACCAAAACATCACGATTTAAAACGTTAAAACCAACCAGAAATATTTGGGAAAATTCAGCTGCAAAAAAAATTTAAGTTGCAATAGTTTTTGCGCCAGAAAACAGCAACAAGCTATAACTGAGCTAATTGTTAAAACACTAATTTTTTTAAGAAAAACTCAGTTTAAATTAGATATTGGGCCACCACTGAGCCGAAGGGTTAAATAAAATTATCATTTGACCTCATCCAGGTTGGTGGTCCTTAAATTCATTTCTTTTTTAACGGTCCCCGTGTAACGCCCACTTGAGCAAAATATTTCCCAAAATTGATAATAAAACCTCAGACAGGAATCGAGATGTGTCCACTTGATTGTTATTTATTTTCCTTTTGTTTCAATTCGTTCCAAGCCGCCCTTAATGAAGTTTGCTTCCGATTGGAGTTGAAACTTGAGAAGACTTAATCGAAACGTGAAAAACTGCATCTGCAGTAGCGGAAATATATTTAAGAAAAGTTTATTAGAGGCTTGATTGGTTGCTATATTTGCCTGAGTTTTCCGCTCAATGATTTTTGATCGACTTTTACTGTTACAAAACAGCTTCCAATGGAAAGAGCGGGCGATACAGTTCAAGTAGACACACTTATCTGTACTATTAACCTAAATACTTAGTGATCGTTTTGAAAACCACTGAAAAATAGCTAGACGAATCGAAAAAAAGTTGCAATATCCAAACCACATTCTCGCCTGTGGTCATGCGTTAAATGATTAACACAATTATTGTCTGATTAGGCAAATTTTGTTTGCTGAGTAAATCGGTTCTGCTTTCTTATATCTACTATTGACCGACGAATGGAGTAACTCAATTTTGAGGCAAAATCATATACCAACTGTTCTTTTCCATAGTTTTATTGTTATTATCCCATTCATTTCCTAGATTTTTGCTTTCCGATGCAATATTTGGCTTCTTCGTAGGCGCTTGATTAGAAAATTCTTATAAACCTTGGCGCAAAATTATTGATTGCAACAACTGAATTTCCGAATGGCTTTTATCAATCACTTGGGTACGGAACAAGTATTCAAGGTGAATATACTGGCAATGTACCAAATACGGCAAATTGCTAAATTTTTATTTTTTTTTTCTTATTTTATAACGCTACGCTAGTGTTATTGGGCAAAGGGTTTGGGGTAGGCAGATAATTGGATTTTTATATTGAATATATAAAGGCTAGTAGTTGGGTTTTGAAACCAGTGTGAGTAGCAACACGTACAAAAATGACGGTTTTCAGTGTAAGGATTTTAAATAATAATAAAATTCTGCATAAAAGTTGAGACCAAACTGGTTTAACCCATACATGGAGCGGTGTTTCTGCTGTTGTAATTTTTGAAATTTTACAATTTTTCTAATAATTGTTAGCAAAACTTACTTGAATTTTTAGTTTTTTTGTTGATGAGGATTTAATTTTTTTTTCTAGCCAACATTTTGTCTGGTTTTCTTTTGCGGTTCCACACGGTTTTAATGTCAACTTTTTTGCAAAGTTTGATTGTTTAAATTTTATATTGCAGATTGTGTTGTTTAGCATTTTTGCTATCCAAGCCGCTTTTGCGGGTTTGTATGGGTTTGGGCACGAGTTCCAACCAGGATACGGATATGGAGCAAACCATGGCATTGAATATGGTGGCGATGAAGACTTTTTTGTAAGTGGATAAGGAATAAAAATGAAATAACGTTGCAAAATTTTGAGAAGACATTTGGTGTCTTGGTTTTTCCTTTTTTACTAAAATTTGCCTCCGCTTTTTCGACATTCTTATTCTAGAATTTATTGATTGTTTTTAAATGGTGTAATTTGACAGTTTTACTTAAACTGAGACAATGCTTGTTGCTGATTTTCTTAATCCGTTCTTGACCCTTGAATTTGATACTTCAGAATTTCCAAAAAACTTTCTTTTAGAATTTCGGAAGTTTGGGATACTTTTAATACAGGGTAACTTAGGGCTTTTTCTTGATCTTTGATTTGATTGAAAAACAAGTTATCAACAATATTTTCTAGTTGGTTTGTTTTCAGTCTTCTTTATTCACTATTTGCCTCTTCTGCATATATTTGCCCTAATATATTAAGACTCCTCCTTTGCGTCTAAAATGCTCAGTTTTGTCGTCCCGAGACTTCTTACTTACTTTAAGGTAATTTACTCGATCGATTTTTCGGATATTTGATGTTTTGTAAAATTGAGCACTTAAACACCTTTCTAGCGCCTCAGTTTTCATAAAGTATTTCCCAACAGTTTAGTCCAACAGCAACTTTCTTCAAGAACTAGTTCGGATTATTTCAAAATCCCCATTTTCAAAGAAAACTTTCAACAAGAAACTGGAAATACAAACGAATCCTAATAAAAATCACCCAGAAGTCTGCAAAAACACTTAACAAACTCCACCTGGATCTGGAATCCAAATTTTTCCCAAGAAAACTTTCTAACTGGAACTAGAAAACCAATAAAAATCCTGAAGATTAATAGAATGATTTTCCAGGCACCAGCTGGATACCAGTTTGAATACGGTGTTCATGATCCACATTCGCATGACATCAAGTCCCAACATGAGCATCGCGACCATGACAATGTTAAGGGCAGCTACTTCATCGATGAACCTGATGGTACCAAAAGAGTGGTTGATTACATTTCAGCACCCCATGCAGGATTCCAGGCAGTGGTGAAGAGAGTTGGACATGCCCAACATCCTGCGATTTATGGAAAACATGCCCATGGGCATGGTTTGGGTGGAACCAGCTACGTTGGAGTCACCAACTGGGGCCACGGATCGGGAAGATGACTATTCCGAAGAAGAAACTGGGAAATAAAAAGTCGCCGAATTGTTTCTACCTTTATACAAATACACCATTCATCCTGAGGTGTTTTTTTTTGGGGTTTTACATAACGACAACTGAAAATCGATTTTCGTTACATATGCACATAGGCTGAGTGTTAGAACGGGCAAAAACGCGAATTGCTGCTCATGCAAGTGGCAAAATTAACGAACCAGAATCGATCACCGCATAATTGTACTTGCCGAAATGTTTGCAAGAAGAATGTTGCGTTTCCATGTGAGCTATGCCCGAATGATAACGGCAAAATGCATACTAATTCCTATTAGTTTTTTCGATCCATCGATTCCATTATAAAAGCAATAGCTTGCAAACGGTAAATCAGTTCACAGCAGGACAACAAAGCAATAATATCCTAAAAATGAATTCTCTTTTGGTAGGTGCACTTGAACATTTTGGATGGTTTTCACAGTCAAATTTTCCCTACTTTGCAGGTTCTTGCCTGCGTTTGCATCGCCCTTGGTGCCGTTATGGCTTTTCCCAGCCATGAGCATCATGTAAGTACTAAAAACAGCCATTTTGGCCAAACCCTAATGAGAAAATTTCAGTTCGTTCCTCACTACCACTACGCATATGGTGTGCATGATCCCCATACTCACGACCACAAGTCCCAAAAGGAGGATCGTCATCACGACGATGTGCATGGGAGTTACACCCATCATGAACCCGATGGTACCAAGAGAGTGGTGGAATACCATTCCGATAAGCATGAAGGCTTCCAAGCCTTGGTGAAACGTGAAGGCCATGCTAAACATCCCCATGGAGCCACCAGTTACGTTGGTACCACCCATTGGGGCCACGGTTCCGGCAGATAGGCGACGCATGGATTGACTAAAGACTGTTTTATTTTGTATAAATGGATATTTGCATGTTAATTGTTTTTGTTTTGTATATTAAAAATGAGTTTATTTAAAAAAAGGTGTTTGTTTTTATTTATGTTCTGGTTATAGTACAACCAAAGCGAAAGAAAGAGAAAAACTTGAATCCTGTTCCTTTGCATATTTTTTGTGGCAATTTTTGTACTGCCGAAAATATTGGGAGAAAAAACACTGCGATTTTTAAAGTGATTCGAGTTTTAATTGGAGCATTTTATCGTAGATATTCTTTTATAATGATTTTTTATCATTAAAATATCCTCACATTTGACGATAAAGTGGAATGAGCTTAAGCAGTAATACGGAAACATAAAGAAAAAACATGAATAGAAGATTATTTCGCTGTTCGCTCTTTTTCCCGGTTCTTCCCAATGGTAAACGCAACTGCAATCCACTATCTAATAAGTAAACTGTAGCCAATTGAACTTTATTTGAAGATTGAAGCTCGGCAAAAAGCAAAGTGGAAGCTGGAAGTTCTCAATGAGAGAAAAATGAGTCAACTTTAAACTTTTTTGCAATTCGAAAAGCTCTTTAAATTTATTTTGCCTTGTTGAAAAGTCGCTTTGTAGTCTTGACATATAATTTCACCTCAAAGAAGGTTAAGTTAATGCACCCAATTCATATTTAGTTTAGGAATTTCGCTCGAAAGAAAGCAAAGGGAAAACTACAAGCTACATTTAGATTGACAAACTTTCAAAAAATTCTTGATAGTAAATGCTCTTGTTAAGCTCTTACAATCCAGATGACCTCTTTGTAATCTGGAAATAGAGTTTTACTTAAAATGTTTTTTATTTAAGGGTTATTAAATAAGTTAATGAAAATTAAACGGCATCTAATAAGTAAAATACGATTAATCCAGATTAAGGTAACACATTTGGTTTGCAAGAGAATAATTTGATGGTTTCACGTTAATCGTTTAAAGCTTCCGAAAAAACTTTGACATAAAACTTTCGGTATTTTAACGTTCTAAAGACACTTAAATTTTTCGAAAATAATTGAACTTTGCAACCTGCATGTCTTGAAATCTTGACCTAAAAATATTTCTTCAGCAGTTGGAATTTTAAATAATATTACTCTACAAGCATATCGTTAAAAAAAAAATTAAGTTAAGTTTGTTTTTGTGAGAAATGTTTCACAATTCGGAAAATTTTTGATTTTATTCGTTTTATACCAAGTTTGTAACACATTTGGTTTGCAAGAAACTAATTTGATGGTTTCAAGTTAATCGCTTAAAGTTTCCGAAAAAAACTTTCGGTGTTTTAACGTTCTAAAGACACTTAAATTTTTCGAAAATTATTGAACTTTGCAACCTCCATGTCTTATAATCTTGACCTAAAAATATTTCTTCAGCAGTTGGAACTTTAAATAATATTACTCTACAAGCATATCGTTAAAAAAAAATTTTAGTTAAGTTTGTTTTTGTCAGAAATTTTTCACAATTCGAAAACTGTTAATTTTATTCGTTTTATACCCAGTTTCATATTTGCAAAGAACTTGTAGAATGTAACAGTTTGAATCTCAAAAATCTCTCAAACTTGTGTATGTGATAAGTGCAATATGCAACCTTAAAAAAGGTATTAAAATAAAAAATATAGCCATTAATTTCGGTTACTCATTGTGAAAAATGTAATTAATACTCCTGATTATTACGATTTTTTTCTGCTTCTAACATAATTAGGAAAAGTGAAAAATCCTCAACATTGCGTGTTCCTGCTCATCGTAATCTTCTGAAAAATCTGGAGTTTGCAATTCAAAACATTGTGAACTAATTTGCACTGAGAACTAAAATACACGCTCATTCTTCGAAAATAATTTCAATTTTCTAGTCATTGGAAATCGTTGAAAATATGTAACTCGAGCTTGAGGTCGCGTACATTCCGAAATAATTATACAAAGTCAAATTTTGGGCACCTAAAAAGCTTGCATTGCCTACTAAAATGTATTGTGGCAATTTGAGCAACATTACACTTGACATTTCGTTTTACGCCTCGCAAAAACAGTCGATAAATTGATTTTTAACCATAATTACGATCAAAGTAATTAAATACGAATTACGTCAATGCTTGAACAATATTCGCAACAATGCAACATTTTTTTTCGCATCTAACCGTAATTAGTTGAAATAATTCAAAACCATGGATAAGCCGAGTAGCCAGGAACCGTAAAACGTTTTAATATATCTATAAAGTACTTTCTTTTTTAACTTGATGAATTTTTCCATATCGTTACTTTCATTACAAATAGAGATTTGATTCGTTTTTATCACTTGAGTTTACGTAACGGTACCATTGGTAAATGGTAAAAGAAACTGAAGTGATATTGATATAAAAGTTCAGTCATTAATCAGTAAAGTCAGTACAAGTTTGAGTTCTAACAAACAACATACAAACCGCTTCAACATGAACAACTTCATTGTAAGTGCAAGGGTGGTTTAAGGGAGTGCTCAAACATCAATAGTTTGGTCCTAAAGTTCTCTATTGACCTTTACCTAACTTAAAAGTTCGTGAAAAACTTCCAACTGGGGTAAAACTAAGGTTTCTTTCAGGTTTTGACTTCCGTCCTGGCCTGCCTCATTGTAGCAGCTTACGGGGATCATCATCATCACCATCACCATCATCATCACGTAAGATTGAAAACCCTTCACGTCTTCCACCAGGTCACTCACTAATCAATTTGCCTCCTCCAGATGGTTCCTCACTATCACTTCAAATACGGCGTTCATGATCCCCATACTCATGACCATAAGGAGCAAGAGGAGCACCGCCACCACGATGATGTGCATGGTTCCTATCATCTGGATGAACCCGATGGCACCAAGAGGGAAGTCAAGTACACCTCAGACAAACACGACGGGTTCCAGGCTTTGGTAAAACGTGAGGGACATGCCAAGCATCCACATGGAGCCACCAGCTATGTGGGAACCACCCATTGGGGACACGGATCTGGACGATAAATTGACTTGGTCTCCTAGGAAAAGACTGTTTTGATAATAAAATATAACATAATACATTTTTGAGAAAAATATTTGTTTTTTTTTATAGTAGTTTGTAAGTGGTAACCAGTGGCATTTTGTTCTAGTACAAGGCGCACGATTGCGTTCTTGTATTTCTCAATCATTTAGCTTGATAGATAAATTTTTTAAATATTTACTTGAAAAACAAAAGCAAAGCAATTAATGCTGTCTGTTAATCAAACTGTTAAAAGTATGATCAAAACAGGTGGTTTTTAAAAGCGTTACCGATAAATAGATACTGCATACGAACCAACCATAAAGTATGTGTGTTAATTCATCAAAGAGAAAAGCAATTCAAAATTTCATTAAAAATGTAAAATGAAATACAAAACATGGAATTATTCAGAGTTAAGTAAATTCAACATTCATCGACAATTGCGCTCACAGACTCAGTGTTTAAATAGTTTAAAATATTTCAGTTAGGTTAATTTCAATAAAACTTTGTCTTTTGTCTTTTTTGCCTGCGACTTTTTTCCTGATTTGACAGCATAATTTAAACCGTTCATTTGCGATGGTTTTTTTTCACAAATTATTACCCATTATATTATGTTATCATTGTTTTTAAATCAATTCCTTTAATTAGAGTATAACAATCAGCACTTAGATTCATTTATCACAAATTCGGTTAAAAAATGTTGAAAAAAATAGCAAAGGAACTTTTCTTTCAAAAAATAAAAAGTGACTATTTAAATTTTACTTTTAAAAACAAAATCTGTTGGTAAGCAAAAGCGACTTTGAAATTTGCGAGGTAAAATTCCTATTATCTCATAAACCAACCATGTTAAGCTAATTGAACCAAACAAAACGGAAAAACAGTCACCGTCTCGAGCAATAGATATTATTCGGGTAAAAACTCAAACACAATTTACTAACATCCATGTAATGTGGGCCAAAATATGTGAGTGAATCTGTGAAATTTGATTTATCAAGTCATTCATGCTGTAGGTTTTTCCAATTGTCTATTCGTCCGTTATTAAGTAATACAGTTTTGGTGTGAAGTTTTTTTATTTGGTGTAAAACCGCAATTTTATAAATTATTGATGTAACTCTAATCGAGTATTTTGCTACTGATTGTTCAATTAGTTCAGTTTTTTGAATGACAAAACATATTTTTTATTACCTACTTATTGCGTTGGTTGATAGTGTGATTTTTATATAAATTTTGTTTCGTACAAAAATTGAAGCAGACTTTTTTATGGAAAATTAGGCAATTTAAGGAAGGTTTAAGGCAAAGGCGTCGAACTTAAAATGTGTATTTCCTATTCCCAACTTAAAGAATTTTTGAGCGTTCACGATCTTTAACCGACGATTTATTCCTTATTATTGACCCAACCCAACCCATTTATAAATGCATATTTATGACCTTCTTCGTTCTTCGAAAACGTTCTCAAAATGTCATAAATTTTACATTATTTAACATCTCACGGACGTAAGGAATGCATCGAACTCATTGGAAAACATGGTAGAAGTTTCAAATCCGAAATAATAGACATTTTCGGTACATTTTAAGCGTTTTTTAAGCGTTCACGATCTTTAGCCAACGATTTCTTCCTTATTATTGACCCAAACATTTATATCGATTGAGCTTAAAAAACACGCATGTGAAATTTAGATTTTTGGTCGAAATTTTTCTAAGGGTTTCCACATTAACACACAAAGCGGCATTAACACACAAGTGTCTTAAGACACAGTATTACCCAGGCCTAAAAGAATTCTTCGTCTGATTAAAAATATGCAAAAAGTGGGACATTTCTGTTAATGTTGTAACCCTGCAACTTTCCTAGGCGCTGTACAGGGAGCAAATAAAACAACTAAAACCTCTGTGAATAAATTGACAAATATCCAACTCCTACCCTACCACTTAACCAAGTCCACTGCTCTTACCATTGGCGTTTTCTCAGTTAAATAAAAAAAAATCACACAAACAAGCGCCAATCAAACCCTATTGCTGTAACAATGTTTTTCGCATTGGTCAGTAATACCCATACAGTGCCAGTTCGAACTATTACCAAACAATTGGTATTTTATCGAGCCGATCTGGCCGACAAAAAGAAGACTACAACCAATCGAGGTTTTGTTGACCACAAATGATCGTAATTGATCTGTTCGAAATGTTTACATGCGCTTAGAAACCGTGGAATTCATTTCGACTAGAATTTCTTTTAAAGGTAAATATTTTATTTTGTCATGTCCATTGCTCAAACCTTAAACACACAACTTTGGTTGGCTTTTTGCGCGATCGCTATGCAACAATACCGTTACTAAACTGCATAACACAATTAAAACGAAATCTATATATAAGATCGGATGCTGTTGATTAGGCCCAGTTGCGGTCTAAGAAGGAACAATACCGTTCATAGAAAAATGAACATTTTTATCGTAAGTTGGAATACATTTTAGAGGTAAAACTATGAATAAGTCGAGCAGTTGTTAGCAGCACTAAAGGTTCTCTAAAGGGAAACTCAATGACAGTAAAACAAAAGTTTCTATTTAATTGCAGATAGTTTCCTTCTTAGTTGTGGCATTAGGCACCGCTCTTTGCCACCATCATGAACACTACGTAAGTTCCAAATCGTCCACCAATTGAAGAACTTTGATAGATATAATTTCCAGTTTATACCCCACTATCACTTTAAATACGGGGTGCACGATCCGCATACAAAAGACCATAAATCCCATGAAGAACATCGTCATCATGACGATGTTGTAGGATCCTACACGATCGATGAACCAGATGGTTCCAAGCGAATCGTTGAATACACCGCAGGAAAACATACGGGATTCCGGGCGATTGTTAGGCGAATAGGACCAGCCCATCATCCACATGGTTCCAGTTTCTATGGAGTCACCCATTGGGGATTCGGATCGGGGAGATAACCGCCCATAGTACCAACCATCAAAAGACTCAACTAGAGATTAAGAGAAATTTTGTATGTTTTGCTATTACTGGAAATTAAAGAAAGAAGAGCTGAATAATTTTGCTAGTTTTTTTGGGGGGAAGCAACAGTTGCTGCTCTTTGCGCGAGGGGGGAAGAACTAACAAATTGTGAATCGAAAGCGAGATGGTTAATTTGACTTATTTAATTATTTGCGAATGTGCGTGTTTTAAAAATAATCTATTATCCAAAATTCAAATTACTGATTTCCGTTTTAATGGACAATTTTTGTTTCTTGAACTCACAAGTTGGAGCTGCGGAAATTGAAGCTGCAAAACAGTCTGTTTTCCCAATTCCCCAATGCCGTTCATCTAGCAATAAACTAAGAGTTTTTGAGTGTTTTTTAGCCATATTTTCGATTATGGAAATTTAGTGTTGCCAACACTGGGTTGTGAATCGAAACACCACCAAAGCAATAACGTCATTTTTTTATTAAATAAATAACTTTCTTCCGCACTATTAACAACTTTCTAAATTTTTCCTCATTAGCAGGTATTTGACGGAAAACTGCACCTTTAGAATCAATGTTTGTTTCAACGCTTTTTTTTTTAACTTTTCCAGCCTGAGGAGGTAGAACAAAATTCTCAAAATCCACACAGTTTCTAAAGAAGTGAGTCAAAAATAATTGATAAAATTGTTATTTTATGGTGTACTAATAAATGATCATATTCTCCTGCTTAATATTCATCAGCCATTTTGGGGAATTTCGAGGAAAACGCGTTTTAAACCTTCCGAGTTAGAATGAAGGCTCATTTCGGTTCAATTGCTTTTATAAGCAGGAAAACTGGGTGTAAATGTGAGGAAACCAGAGCTGGATTTGTGTTAAAAATGTCCACTCAATCTGAGGGGTGATCAGTTTGAGTATTTGAAGAAACTCCAGCTCAAAATTCAGCTCTACATTGTCTTTGAAAAGCTCTAATATGGAGAATGTAATCTTCACCATTTTAGGAAAGCTAAAGGAAAACTCTCCAAAGTGCAACTGGCATAAATTCAGAATTTTTCTCATTGGATTGTTAGAATGAGCAAGATGATTTCTAACAAACATTTCCGTAATCCTTCGTTTCCTGAAACTACGTTGTGACAAAATTGTTAATTTAACCCAGCACATTGTGTTTTGGCTGTCTTTTGAAGCCTTATGCGTAAAAGAAAAAAAGTAGCTGAAACTAAACGGCAAGTAAAAAAGTATGCTTTTTAAAAGCACCAAATTTGTAGGAAAAACTTTTTGTAAATAGTAAAATGTATGTATGTTTATTTCAGACCAAACCAGTACAATGTTTATGATTTTTTAGATTCGTTTAAAAAAATGTTTTGCTGTTCGAAAATTATGCGATAGACAAGCTATTTCGGAATACGTGGGTGCTGATACGATGTTTTTACATCGAAAGTGGTAATTTCGCCTGATTGATGTTCAATGGTGAATTTTAGTTTCTGACACTTACCCAAATCATCTCATTTTTAATTCCTATAAAATTTCTCGTATAAACCTCAAAAATTAAATTAAATAAAAAATTAACACCTCTACTTTTAATGAGAGAATTGTGCTAAACAAGACAAAGGGCGTGAAAACGACGTACAATGGAGCAACGGTAATCTTGAAAATCGATTATGTAATAAAACCGCAAATATTAAAGTTTGTTTAATAATAACCCAGTGTAAAAAGTGTCTTACGCAATGCCTAAAGTTAATGAGAAATAAAAGCTCCAGATGTGGCACAATTGCAATTATTTACTGTTGGGTTTATTCAGTTTATTAATCGATCTAGTTTATTTTTTGCTTGTATTGTTGCTCTGGTCTCGGGCATTGTTTCATCCAAGATGTATTTGCTGCGATTTTTTTACTTTATTTTTATTCTTCAGCCGCGTGACTTTCTTACTCTTTAAACTATTGTCTCGACTTAATTCTGAAAAAATAATGAATGATAAAAAAAGGGAAATGTTTTGCAATAAAAAACCGGAACGTCTAACGCAAAACAAGCCATGCTAAAAAATACGCATTGTGAAATTAGAAGTGAACAGAGCCAAAAAATGCAATTTAAACCAATAAGAAGGGCGATGGCCAGAACAACGCAAAACAGGCCAATGGCATGTTCAGAAGAATGCGTGGAATTTGATTCGGGCCAATAAGATGCGTAATAACCCGAAGAATGCGAAGAGCGCCGATGCGAAGCATTCAAACCGGTTTCCGTCTAATGAATGGAATTCTTTACAGCGCGTAAGAAATACTACGTTTACGATAATGTTTCATGAATGAAATTGCCCTTATTGGGTCGTTTGAATGCTTTGTGGACGGATGGAATATTCATTTTTGAACTTTACAAAATTGTTATTAATTTTTCTAATTGGTTTATGCAACAACGGCACATTACGCATATAAAACCAATGCATTTTGGCATTACGAAGTTTTATGGATTTACATTAAAACATATGCTGGTAAAAGTTAAGTTCTTAGACCCACTATTGGACCATTTGGTTTTGCATACTTTTTGAAATTGAACAGCTTTCTTTAGGGACCGTTTGAGTTTGCAAAGAAATTTCTAATTATTCACTCAAACTCAATAATAGCCGATCAACAAATCAATTACCGGGTGATTTCAACTGAACAAAGTCGATTTGCTGTCGAACTGCAATATTCAAGCCACTAGTCCGTAAACTTGTTAACTTGCAATCCCAAAGAGATAATGGTTTCTACATACTTACATAACGTACAGATTGGGCATTTTTTTGGTCAAAGTGCGTTATTAATTTCGGGTGTTTTTTCGGCTAATCATACACATGATTTAAATATCCCAACAGGTATATAAGCAGGTAGGCGCTAGTTGGTTTATATCAGTTATCAGTTCAAATTTCTACTGTTTGGCAGCATTTGAAACCGATTATGTCTCCTCTAATGGTGGGTGAATTTTCAAAACCTCTACAAAACCTTATTAATTGTTGTTGCAGGTTCTTTTAGTAGTTTTTGTTGCTACCAATGCAGCAATCGCCCAGTATTATGGGCATGGTCATGAAGATCATCATGTAAGTACGAATTTATATTTTTCAACTATAAATAACTAAATGTAAGTTAATATTAATTGAAAGACATTCTCATTTGATGCAGAAACGGTGTTAAGGCAAGGGCGGGTCCAGAGGAGGGCTCATGGGACCCCCATGAGCGCCCTCTGGATCAGGGTGAAGACAAATGTTATCATTGTATTCTTTGTGGGTTTAAGGTAGCAATTTTTTTAGGGAAAACAGCTTTTTGATGTAGAAATTGTCTGCATTACTCTGGTTAATATCGGGCCGTTTGAAAATATTGAAATTTTTGCAAAAACGTACGATTTTCGATAAAAACTGCATCTCGGTTGAAAAACTTAGAAGTTTTGATGATTTGAAGGTCGAGAAGTTATTTTTCGGACAAAGTATTTTGAATTTGGCAGAAAGGCCTTAGCGTAAAAAGGTGTTTCAGGGCCAAACTTACGATTTTTGGCTATACGCTCTTTTGCTACAAGTTTGGCGGCGCATAAAGATTTTTTATCCCCAAATGTATTATTAGCAGCAGAAGCTCAATGGTATTACAAAAAATTGCAATTGTTCTTGTTTAAGACAATAATATGGCAAGTTTCTTGTTTAAGACAATCTATGTACATGGTAACTAGAAGAAATACAATAGAAGAAAAGTTATTTTGTTATTTGATTACAACACAATACTTTTTAATACATTTACTATTGTCCTTGAATTGAAGCCTGTCCTGACTGAATCTCATCTCTACTACATGACCCCCCCCCTGACTTAAAAGCTGAATCCGCCCTTGTGTTAATGAAGCATTTACAAAAAGAGCAAATTAAAAAGAATTTACCTCATGATTTCTGTATTGCAATTTCCAGACTGTTCCCCATTACCAGTTTGAGTACGGTGTTCATGATCCGCATACTCATGACATCAAGGCCCAACATGAACATCGGGATCATGATCATGTTCAAGGCGGCTACACCTTTAAGGAGGCGGATGGCACGCAAAGAGTGGTCGAATACACTTCTGGACCTCATTCAGGATTCCAGGCCGTGGTTAGAAGAATCGGACACGCTCAACATCCAGCTCATTATGGAAAACATGGATATGGCGGCATTGGTGGAACCAGTTATGTTGATGTCACTCACTGGGGGCATGGATCTGGAAAATAATTGCACCCTGTATGTTGTGGCTTTCAATAAATAAGTTAATGCAGTTTGAGTTGTCATTTAATTTAATTTTTAGCTACCAAATGGGAAAAGCCACCTTGAAAAATCATAATCTCGCCCACTGAACCTACACAATTTTTTTTATATCACTAAAAACCTAATTAAGAAAACTACAACGTACGCCTTCATTTGCATACGCGGACCGTAAATTCGCCTATATTACCGCTTTCATTCGGCCTGAAACTAGATTTTAGCCAAATAATAGCGGATCAAAATTTCAACAAATCCGAACAACAAAATATCTTGCATTTACTTAATTAATCAGCATAACTACTGTTATTAGTTTCGCTTCAATTAAATGCAAATAGCTAATTATCACTACTAATTTGTTGCAATTAGAACAAATCACCGCCCATATGTGGAACAGTGCTTTAGACCTTTAATGTAGGGTATTTATTTCATTTACTAAATCGTGTTTTATTCGACTTTCAACGCAATTACGTCAGCGAAATTTATATTATCGCACTTTTATCGGCAATGTAGCCATTGTTATAATACACTTTTTACAGCAATATTAATAATAATGATTGTTTTTACGATTTAAGAAGGTCGTGGCGGAAATTCGCTTTTGCCAAGGTGGTAAACGTACGCAACATATAAAAATGTACTTTTACCAATCACACATTTGTAGTTGATTTTATTCAATGTAATAAATGCGCAATTTTATTGATGTCAAGTAGTTGCTGTGAATTTGTTTTTTTTGCCAGATGGAACGTTAATTTTCAACAAATTTCATGGGATGTCGACAATAAACAATGTCCTCAGTCTTTAGCAAGACCAATTGAAGAGACCAATTACATAAAATCGTTGGACTGTAGACTCTTCTCGCTTAATGTTAATGAACTTCAAATCCAACCAGATTTTCGCTAGTAATCCAAGTCAAACCACAATGTCAGCGAATCTTGCGGTTCCGCAAAACCAACCCAAAAACCGGATCTAATTAAGCCAAAAAATTGTAAACCAATCCACACCCACCAATGCTCACGTTTGTCGAAGTTCCTGAAAAATCACTTAGTCATTTTACAAATTTGCCTCAAATTTTTCATCCGGTTCTCTAGCTTCTGAAGGCCTTTACTATCAAATTGGATATAGATTAATTGTTCTTCAAGTCGCACAAATTCTATATATATAAGCGTAGACAGTTTCGGTTTCAGTAACATTTCTCTTCACACTATACGGTTTGTAACTTACAGTGCAATGTCGATAACATTGGTTAGTATTTTGGGGTGTTTTAAGGATGTTGGTGTGAACTTGTGCAGTGTCAATTCGGATTAGCTTAAATCAATTGGATTTTTTCTTGAAAATGTGGCTCAAAAATCGACCAGGACAGTCAATTTTCCCGATATTGTTCCAATTGATTTTTGCATTAATAGTTGAACTAAGTTATTGTTTTGTTTGTCTCAACCGCCTACAGGTTTTTTGATCTACAGTTTTTCCTATAATTATTCATTTAATCATTTTACGCTTTTAAAATTCACTGACAAATATTGATATGGTTGAAGAGTAGAACATTGAGGAGTTAAAATTTTCACTTACTTACTGAAAAATCAAATGTTTTCTCATTGTTTTGAGAGTTTTGAAATAATTTAAGTCTCCGCATTTACCTTTTTCTTGCCTGAGTTTTTTGTATAAAGAGATCAAACATAATGCTGTGTGTTTAGAATTCAGCATTTATTATCAATTTGCAATTAAAGTTCTGAGAAAACTCGGTTTGCCAAAAAACCCTAAATTTCAGACAAAACACCCAAAGAAAACTATTAAAACTTCTCATAATTTAACTGAAAAATCCTCATTTTCCAATTTTAGATTCTTTGCGTCTCATTAGGAGTGATAGGAGCTTACGGTTCGGTGTTGGTTCCTGGATATGAAGCAGGATCACTTTATTCTGGATACCAGGGAGAATATGCTGGAAAATATGATAACTATGTAAGTAAAACTCATCAAAATGTCCCTTGGTGCCTCCAGAATACTCAAAAAACATCACCGTACGACCCACAATTCATCACCCAAGTAACTTAAACCTTCAACTTGCAGAAAAAATCCTACGCTTTCGAATACGGTGTATCCGACCCCCATACCGGTGACCATAAATCCCAATGGGAAACCAAAGACAAAGAAGGCACAGTGAGAGGAAGCTACAGCCTGCTGGAACCTGACGGTACCACCAGAATTGTAGACTACATTGCAGACGAACATGGTTTTAGAGCGGTAGTGAAAAAAGTTGGAGTCCATGGAACCAGCGTGGAAACTCATGGAGGAGCTGAACACGATGTTTCCCCGGTAATTTACTCCTCAAATTTGAGAAGCTTTAAACTAATTTAAAAAAATAGGTTGCAGTAGCCGCCCCGATCGACTACCAGCAGACAGTGATCGAAGAACCGGTGGCCTACAAGAGCTACGATGGAGGATACGAAGATTACAGTGGGCTGAAGGCAATCGCAGCTGATGTTTATACCAAACCCCTGGAATACATCTCTGCGCCTAAGGCTGAACTGCTTATTAATGTTCCAGAACAGAAGCTGGAATATGAAGGTTCTTATGCGGCAGAAGAGCCACATCAACCCAAATTTGCGCTACCTGAAGAATACTGGAAGCCCGAGTATATTCCCGAAGAAAAATATGTCCTGCCCCAAGCATACAGCCAGTCTGGTGCTGGATACGCTCTTCCAGCCCCTAAGCAGATTCAGGAATATTTGGTTCAACAATACAAAGCCCCTGAGCAGTATGTGTCAGCTCCTCAATACAAAGAGTACACAGTACCTCAAGTGGCCAGAGAATATGTTCCTCTGGAACACGCTCCTTACTCATATGTACAAGAGCACAGATATAACACTCCAAAGGGAAAAGCTATATTAGTGGAAGCTCCACAGGTCCACTATGAGGAGGCTCCCAAACTCAATTACTACCCTCAAACAGCCAATGCTTGGCAGCTGAACGAACCTAGCCAATATACCTTGAATGTAGCTTATTAGGATCTAGACTGGCACTGAAGACATTGATTGTACATATTTATGATAATAAGTTATTTTCATGAAAACGTTTTAACCCTTAACTTTTTTATATGAATTTGCAAACGAAGCCATAATAAGCATCCTTCTGAGGATAAAATGTGTATTAATGAGGCTTAATCAATAAGTTGACTAAGTAGAGGCACTGATTAGAGAATGTATTTATTTATTTCTATTATACGAATTAAAATAAATTGGCATCCAAAAGTGTTTTATTACTATGTTGCTGTCACGTTTTTCCGGTGGTTTGTTCAATTCGGGCTTTTTTGGGTGTTCTAACAATCCAAACAGAAAAAAAAGGAAAGACAAACATGTAAAAACCCGACAATGGCGGGATTTTGATCGAAATGTTTGCTAACTCTCTAATTGATTCACTGAATTATCCACGGTTACAATTGAGCAATTAATTGAAGTCTTTTTTAAAAGCCTATACAAATGTTGAATCTCGATTGAAGATTTTGGTGTGACTTTTGCAACTAGAACTACTTTAGTTTTGCTAAATTAAAACAAAAAATGTTCTGCCATATTCAGGCAATTGAACCGTGATTTTTCCACCCCATTGAATAAATTTGAATAAAATAAACTGTTTGGATTTACATCGATAAATCATGATTTGGTCACAAGACTGTGACCCAAATTTCGCTTGTTTGTTGTTAACGAGCCACTTTACGCGAAATTAAGTAGCTAATGCCAAATTAGAATTTTTGATTTACTTTATGGCGACGGTTTTGGAAGAATGTCAGGGCTATTATAAAATAAAGCAAGGATTTCGGTATCAAAAAATACATATATTGTTTGCTGTAACGCAATTCAAACTCAGTAAAGAAGTAAAAATAAACCGTTTGACAAAACTTTCCAACAAAATGAGTGAAAATTGAGGGCAGGAAGTTGCACAATCCCTAACAGTACAAACGGGCTAATGATTTTCTTCTGAACCAAAATCAGTCCAACCCTAATGGCTGGGTAAATCGAATTTAGTTTCTCATTGTGTTTCGTAAATTTAACCAGCCATTTCACGGTAGTTTTAATTATAGGTCGCAGTGGTGCCTTTTGACACCTCGCTCCTTTGACTATGACCTATCCGAAGGATGTTTTAATAACTGTTATTCCGCTGAAGAATCACGATTGATTACAAAGTGCTGTTAGGTTTCATTGTGCTCACACAATATTCCTATGATTCCCTTTACTGGAGTGATTATTGTCTTTTGATTTCAATTCGTAATCGATTCGTTCAATGTCACTCGAGCTGCTAATAAAAACATCATCCATATGACTTTCGATTTTGCCCCCAAAATGACTTGTTTTATGCGACACACTTCGGCCAACAAATTATTTGCGTAAGTAGTTAAAATCGTGTAAATGAGGAAGTGGAAACGACGTTTGAACAAAGCACAATACACCACGTGCTTAATGCAGACGATGGTAATTAATTTTTTTGCAGTGACTGGCTACCAATTTGCCAAAATTTAAAGCTACAATTAGCCGAAGGTTATGATTTGAGGAGAAAAAAATACTAAGTAGCAGAAAAACATTGAATCTATTAAGCTGGTCTTTGGTGTGTCTAGCAATCATCTTCCTGATCCATGTCCCCAATGCGTAACGCCCACATAGCTGGTGCCTCCTTTTCCATGATCTTCATGTCCATGTCCATCGGCGTGTTTGTCCCCATAAATCGCTGGATGCTGGGCGTGTCCTTCCCGTTTTACCACCGCTTGGAACCCATCTTTCTTTCCAGAATTGTACTCTACGATCCTTTTGGTACCATCGGGGTCATGGATTGTGTAGCTGCCTTTGACGTCGTCGTGATCCCGATGCTCCTCTTGGGATTTGTGATCCTTGGAATGCGGATCGTGGACACCGTATTCGAAGTGATAGCCTGGGACCTAAGAAAAGTCTATAAAATATTTTCTCTCGGACCTTTGGTACTTACATGGTGCTCTTCTCCTTTGTGCTCTTCATGTCCATCCCCATGCCCTGGGAAGGCCAAAGCAGCAGTGATTGCAATGGATACATAGAGAACGACCTGAAAGGGATTTTTCCAGTTTGTTTGATGTAAAGGTAAAACTGTACTTACGGCAAAGGTGTTCATGTTTAATTAATGAGAACAATTTGAATGATTTTTGCACTGGCGGAGCCCGCTTTTATATCGGATACTAATTACCAACAAAAGCAGTTAAGAAATCGAAACTGTGGCAAACACAATTGGAAAAAACCGCGAAGTATGATCTATTTACAAAACGTGCGTTTTACTTTTGCTAGCTTTTGTAAACTTGACATTGTCTGGTTAATAATCTGATCGTTTAAAAGTGTGGCAAACTTTTTTCCGCACTTTGATTTACACAGTATTGCAAATGATCGATTGGTGACCAGATCGACTGAAACCGGGCAAAATGATCATTTTGCAAATGCCCTCATTAAATATTCTAAATCACCGAAGAGCTCAAAATAAAATTATTTGGATGATCCCCACACATTTTTGAACAAAACGGCAAAAATTGCGCGTGAACAAATTATAGTAATAATGAAGATAAATCATGCACACTGGACAGACCGAACCGTTAACTCTAATTTTCACACCATAAACCAAATGACCAACCCATCAAATCGCAACAACCCAGCTTTGATAAAAAATTTAAGCGCTGCATCATCTTCGCTTTTTCATCTATTTAAGCTCTACTAAATTCAGTGTCGTAACAAAGTTTTTTGGGAAAATCGATCGGGGTAGAGAATTGTGAGCCCACGATTGAGATAACGAGAGATTTTGTAACTGAGAGAGTTAAGGGAAAAATTAAAAACGAATTTCAAAGTACTAGTGAAAAATAATTTCCGTGTTGGTTGACTGGACTTTTCCCAATACAAATCATTTGAAAATATGAGATTTATGTTGGCCAATTTTTCAGTGCGTTGGACGCCAATGTGTAGGTCATTTTGAAAATCATTTAAACTTGTCACTAAAATTGTTTTTTTGCAACATCCAAAGTGTCCTGAAAATATAAGGAAAAAAGCGGAAAATACAGCAAACGTTGGTACTTTTATAAATCTTGTCGGTCGTAAATTAGTATCAAGTAGATAATAAAAACAAACAAAAGCAAGTAAAAAAATTTAAAGAGTGTCTTTGCATCGGAACCAAATGATAGAAACTTTAAAATAGTAAAATATAGGCAATTAATTTAGCTCGAGTTCAAAACATTATGTAAAATAAATAAACTAAACTAGTGCCCCCTAAATGGACGGCACTGGTCAAGCAGCTCAAGCACTCCTTCATCACACCTCCTTCTGTCATTTGTTTCTACTTAGACATGTTTAATCCCTTTCCTGGTTCAACACGAGAATCGTGTCATTTTTAGCTCGTTAGGGGCATTTTGGGTTTTGTAATCTTTTTCCCCTGGACCAATTACAGCGCCAGTCAGCGCCCCTTTCTGTGAGCGTTTACCCGAAACCGATTAGAACGTTTCAAAAATGTTAAATCGGCCTCCATAACTTCGTTTATTTTTATACAAGTTTGTTAATTAACTGCCAATAATGCAGGCAGTGTTCCAAACAAAAAATCCACAATCCAATTATTTTCCTTCGCAACCATTATTTTTGGTAAGTCGTTCTAAAATAAATGTAAATTTTTGCTTGCATGTCTTTGGTGAAAAACCGACCAGCAAGACGCTAATTTCATTGAAAAATAGGAATGTCCCTTGGGGTAGTTCCGAAGTCACACACGTTTCTTCAATAGTAGCCAAATCAAATTACAATTATCTTCCAAAGTCTTTCAATTTCGACAGTAGTTTATCTTCGGGGCACCTAGTTTGCAAGTGCGGCCACCTCAAAACACGCAACTTCTGCCTTGTGGCTTCGCTTTTACAAATTTCGAGGGCTTAGGTAGGAATATTGCATTTCGAGCAGGTAGGCAAAGGTGAAACGGCAAGTATTGATGTCACTTATTGGGGAAAGTTTATGGAACAAGAACATGCCTGTTTGCAATTTGCACTTTCCCAAATACAAGTACTTTGTAAAGTACAAGTACAGTTTTTTCAAAGCACTTTGCCCTAGGGGACACATTTCAACCTTTTGCAACAGCTCGGGTACCAAGAAAACGAACGATTACCTATACCCGACCATTTAAGCCAATGATATTTGCGTTTTGCTCCCGAAAAATTGTCTTAATTTGGCTCAAATTTAGCCAATGTTATGGCATGTAAATATTCAAAAGCAGCAAAACATGACACTAATTGCCGGCAAATGTGTGTCCAAAAACTATGCAAAGTGTTTCCGAAATTTTGTTGGTTGGGTATTTCGCCTAAAAATGTTTGTCTGTTTTTTAAATACATAAATCCGCCTGTACCAGCAGAACTTGAGTATCTTTAGTGCGAGTTGCAGACAAAGTTAATCCGAATCCGTGTTTATTCGTGAGGTTTGAGTAGGTAAATTTATGCCCCATTACTCATGGTTGTTGAGTTATAAGGCTTCAGAAATGTGGTACTTTTGGAGCATTTTGTTTAAAATGCATCGCCTTTAATAGACTGGAATTGGGAAAAATTGCACTTACGCGTTCTGTATCCAAAAAAATTCTCGGTGGAGTCGAAAAGTCCACAAAGTCTTGAAGAAAACTCCGAAATTTACTCAAAGGTCCGAATGACACTTAAATGTCAAAAATATTCTCTCATCTATACGTCAGACATAATTTTTCGAGTTTTTTCGCGAAAAATTGTCCTGCTAGCCGAAGAAATACCACAAAACGGCAAAGGAAATATTTCTCTTCCAGAAAATCCGCACTTTTCCGCACAAAAATGCACAAAATCACGAATTTTTCGATATTTAGACAGATCGCGCTTAGTGCGTATATGTCAGTCATAAATCAAGAAACTAATTCAATAAAATGAGAGGTTAGTTGACGTTCTTTTGAAAGTTAATCGCCCAATATTCTATCTAACTCACTTACTCTCACAAGTTAATCGGAAATACGACTTCAAAACGTTTACGTACGTTTTTTGTCTTATACTTGGAAAAAAATACTAAAAAATAGTTCAGCTTCAAACGAGGACAAAACCACGCTAATACAATACAGCAAAAAAATACATACAAAATACAGCTTTTCGCAATTTTTATTTATTGAAGCTCCCATTGCTCAGATGCATTTAAATATAATTTTGCATCGACATCAAAATTTTTAATTAAATCGGAGGGAGGTTTTTGCATTCCTCCTACACCACTCTTGTTAAGCCAGTAAATTAACCGCAAAATTAGGGGTAGTTAATGCCTAACCCTAGTGAGTTCGGTTGGGCTCAAAATTTCGAAATGAAGGTCCGGTGACTGCGCAATTTCCAAAATAGCTTCTCGATAAAATTATCTTTGCCAAGCGGATGTGCCCAGGTTTTGTGCGATTTTTTGCATACAGATTTCCTTTTGAAAACGGAAATGAATTCAACTTTGAATTCAACCACGGCGGATTTCAGGTGCCAAATTTTAGATCGTATTTCTTCAGCATGCAGCTACTTAAATAGAAAACGAGATTTGCCCAGATTGGCATCTTTTTATGAAATTTTAATTAGTTTATTGGGTCAACAGTGAGTTTTTTGCAAATAAACAACCGAATAGTTTTTGCCAAAATATTTTCTAATTCTCTATCAAAAACCAGATAAGCGAGAAAAATKTATAAAATGTGTATTTTTCAAACAGTGAAATTTRTAATATATGTATATGAAAACGTAATTTATAAAACAGTAAAASTTCAAGTAGTAAATARATCCTGCTGAACAGCCTAAATTTAATTATTATTTTTTAAGACCAATACTCTTTGCTCACAAACTCTTGATCGTGCTTTGCTCATCACCATCAACAMCGSAGGAAATTTGCTTAATWAGTTTCAAAAATCCCTGCCCAATTCAACAATTAATCCGCCCTTAAGTGATTGCATGYTCAATTAAAACGATGTGAAAGTCGTCKCCTCAAGTCGCTCTTTCTAGTCTTTAATTTATGCCCAAGAAAATTWAAAAAATCGGCCATGTACAATGCGAAAAAAACCACTTCAGAGCAYTTTTCCCCAATGTTATAATCCCTTTTCCTACAAACCACCCGCAAAAAACATAATAATCCAGCTCATTGTTCATTTGATCGCAATATGAAAAAAAGTGATCAGGGCCGAAAAACCCCCCGTGCAATTGCTCGTCCAGGATTGGTCGTGTAGTACCCAAAACGGAAGCCTACAATTGGTTGATCGGCACGCGCTTTTAGGGCGTAACATGCGGACAATGGGGTCTGGTTTCCATATAAAAACCGAAACCCGTATGTTGATCCCTCAGATTCGAGCCGATTTCCCTTGGCGCAGTTTAAAAGTGCATTCTTCTGCCGTCTGTTTTGAGCGGGTATTTCGTAATTTTCGTGAGCTTTTTTGTACCTGAGCGTCAATTTTGTGTTGATTTCTTCAACTTGAGTGCCAACCATGGAAAATCCTGAACACTACTCAGCCTATCTGTACTTTCCGGCAACCACTCCGGATTTAATCCCTCAGGACTGTTGGGGCGCATCTCCTAATTCCAGCTACGACAGTCTGAGCGATGAAGGGTTTCAATCGGTTACCAGTCCAGGAAAACCTGGATCCAGAGGAAAAGTGGCTCCTCAAGTGTTGAGGAGGCGAAGACTGGCGGCCAATGCCAGAGAACGTCGCCGAATGCAGAATCTGAACCAAGCTTTCGACCGTTTGCGGACTTTTCTGCCTCAATTGGGTCAGGATAGGCAGCTGAGCAAGTTTGAGACCCTCCAAATGGCTCAAACCTACATAGCAGCTTTGTACGATCTGCTGGATCAAGCGCCCTCCAGTCGCTGAGTTAACGATTAAGGTTTGTTACAGTTTATTTTAAAGCCAAAGAAATTTATACCAGTGTTAACGTTTGTATTATAGTAATTTATTATGTGGCCCTTAAGGCTGCATGTTTCCCGCATATTATGTAGTAGATTGTAAGTGTTGTGCTCTCACAATAGTGTAAAGGGTGTAGGCCAGTCTTTGCCACAAAAGTATTAACTATCAATAACTCAGTCAGTATTATTTTATTATTAGCATTGCTACTTTTAGGATAAATAACATAAATGTACAATTTGTAAATATCTTACAGCAAGGTGCCAAATTTTGTGTCATATAGGAATAATAGTGAGATAAGTTTAATTAAATAAATAATACGTTTAGATAATTTTTATTAAGGCGTTTTATTAAGTCCAGAACGTTTGATCGTTTGCTAGCAAAACCAGGCAGATTTGTGCCTCTTGATGCAGTCGCTTTTTCATTTAATTTCAGGCCTTTGTTTCAAGTGTTTAGCGTTTTCAAGGGCGGATCCAGGGAGGTCATGACCCCCCCCCCCATTCAATTCCTTATCCAACGATGCCAAAACGAATTCTCTGGCTCGAATGGTTCTTGAGAAACTTCGAAAAAAGCAGCGTCATGTTCAAGTGGATTTTGCAACTCAAGAAAAAAACCACGCAAATCTAAAACTTCTTGAATTCAAGCATTTTTTGAGAAAACTGCCAACATTTGCTTATCGATGGTTCACTTTCTAAAAAGGCCATTTATTTTTCTCTAGAATGATGTACAAATGAGCATTCTTGTTAATTTTGCCTCCGAGAAATGAGCAAAAACGGGACGGAAAACATGAAATTTTGGCGTAATCTTGCACCTAAGTGTATGATATTCAAATTTCGCTTTCTGGGTCAAAACTACTCCAACTTCCTCACTCACGTTGTTACGACTGAATGAATGAATGAATGAATTATCTCTGGAATGATGTGAATAAGATCGTTCTTGCTCATTTTCCTTCCGAGAAACATGCAAAACGGGACGGAAAACATGAAATTTTGCAATAATCTTGCGCTACCCTTGCACAAAACGACGATCATTTTTCTAATTTCAAAAGCAACAGAAAACTGTATTTTTTCTACATAACCCCCCCCTGACTTTAAAGCTGGATCTGCCCCTGTTTCCACAAAACATCAACATTTCAAGTATTATTTTGGTGAAGTTCGACCGCACCTCAAGCAACTCGCAGCTGACGTCATGCAGAAGCCACCCAACCGTTAAAAACTACCCAATTTGCACCTCTATAGAATTTTCCGATCTTTATCTATGGAACTTTCTGTCAAACTTCGTTTTCATAACCTCGCATGTTACCCTTATTTCAAAACTTCGAATTTTGTTTAAATTAGCCCTTTTTAATGAAAAATGGAATTGGAAACTGAAGCCCTGTCCGACCTGTGTGGTCTGCCAAGCGAACCACCAGAAATGCGCAGCCTTTGCCCCAACTGTGAGTAAGTAAATCTCATCAAATTTTCGTCGATATCTTCAATTCTGTGTCCTTTCAAGGCGCCCCATGATGGTATGCTACTGTAGTTCACTGCCTAACCCCGCCCTGTGCCCTAAAAGTAGAATAATCCTGCTGCAGCACCCTGCCGAGGAAAAACGATGTCTTCGAACTGCCCCCATGTTGCAATTGGGGCTCTCACCAGGCAAGTGCCTTATTTTTAAAGGAAAACGATTTCCCGGACTTCACGAAGACTTAGCTGCTATATTGACGGACAGTAACACACTCCTACTTTACCCTAGTTCAAGTGCGGTGGATATAAGCACAGTAATTAGCCAGGAAGTGTCTGCAAGTGGCTACAATATAGTTATTATTGACGGCACCTGGCCTCAAGCTAAAGCCATTTACACAAGCAGTACAATCCTGCATGGTCTGAAGCAAGTGAAGCTTCTAAACAGCAGCAACAGTGATTATATTATAAGGACGCAGCCTGCAGATGGTTGCCTCAGCACATTAGAGACTGCAGCTCAGTGTTTGGCAACTTTAGAAGGTGATAGTTTGATTAAAGACAAGCTCCTCAAGCCCCTAAAGGTCATGTGCGAGTATCAGTTGCAAAATGGTGCCGTGTCACATCAAAGTAAGGAATTTTTAATAAAAAACAACTCCTATCCAAAGCTAATTGGCAAAAGACTAAATAAGGTTCTTAGAGACGCCGATAGACTGAAAAATTAATTGTAATTAACAAACTGATTGATTCAACAATACTGAGCAAACTTTTACAGAGTTGTATTTACACTGATAATTATAAGATATGTTGAAAAATACCTTTTGTAATCAACTCCTCGCACTCAGTTCTTGGCAAATAGTGTCTGCTGTCTTTTTTAAGCAATAGCACCGTTCCATCGGATAACTCAAACTTCCCGTAATCCACTAAACATCTCACTTCAATGTAGAGTGATTTAGGAGGTCGAAGATCCAGCCCCAAATTTAGACCATCTTCGCCTGCAACATTATGTCAAGTAATGGGAGTATTTAGTGGTTTTTCCTCATACCAATTGATCTCATGTATTTGGCCAAATTTCTGGAATATTGGCAAAACCACTCGACTTCTTCTGAGCTCATGTTGACCTTAATATCTGCCGGTAAAACACTACCAAACTCCCATCTCATGGTTCTGAGTATCCTGAGTCTGTTATGGTGGTAAGCGATCAGACAGCGGACGTTTCTTTTCAGGGCTGTTACCCCAATTCTGAGAGTGGGATATAAGGGGTTGCTGTTGACTGCCAAGCCGCTTTCATTGGCAACAATCGCTCTAAAAATCAAGAACGGTTTAATTGAGTACAAAGGGGATTTTTAAGGAATTTCGTTACCCATTGCTCCTGTTCAGGTCATCAAGCTGCTTTATTTCGGCACAAACTTCCTTCACCATGTCGGTCTGAAACGGTGACAATGTATAGATTCAACGGTAAAGTGTTTGCTTACCCTTACGTTGTATGGCGGCAATACGTTTTCACATCTGGATAGTTCTTTTATTAAGTTACAGGCTTTTTCGCCAAACATTTTTAATTCTGCCTATCTATTTTATAACCTCAACTGCTTTTTGTTGTCAGTATTGACAACGACACGTTAACGGAATATTTTCAAACTCATTGACCCGAGCGGATCGTGTGCTATCTCCCTCGTTTGCATGTAAATAAGCCCATCCAGTCGACTTTTAGACCATATCAGATATTAAGTTTTATTTAAGGGACATTTGTCACTTGTTTGTCAATATTATTTTTCGATGTGTCACTAAACTAAATAAATAAATAAAATAAACCGGGCGTAGCCCTAGTGATTGGTTTTGTACATAGTTCTAACTCCCAAGCAGTATTTTCGTATTACTCAAAGTGCATTACTAGCGAATTTAAAAGGCTATAGCCACAAAGTGAAATTTTCAATAAGAGTTTATATTTAATACTGGTAAGTCCATATATAATAAAATAAAAAATTAGATACCCTGAATGATAAGACCTGCCCGCATACGTTATCTCCTTACATTCACCTCGATATTCAGATTACCGATAATCGCTAAACAGCAGCATAGAATTAAGTTTTATTACAAAACATCTAAAGGACTTCGAGGCAAGTAATTGACAATGTGGAAAGCAGCAGCGGGTCAACAGATCAACATCAAAGCGAACACAGAAGATGACGATGATTGGGAAACAGATCCGGATTTTATTAATGATGTTGACGAACAGCAGCAAAGATGGGGCTCCACAACAGTGGAAGGCTCAGGCAGAACTGCCGGCGCAATTGAGTATGTAAATCAACAGCTTTAGAGATAATTCTGCATTGGAAAACGTTGATATTCATAGCATGGACAAACTGAGGCGTGAAACTGAAGAAGCAGATTCCCAGAAAAAGAAAAAGGCCCTAGACGAAGGAGCTGACAATGCAGCCTTTGGCTACGGAGGCAAATTCGGCGTTCAGAAAGACCGAATGGATGCTTCAGCAATGGGGCATGAGTATGTGGGCAAAGTGGAGAAACATGCTTCACAAAAGGACTACTCTACGGGCTTTGGGGGCAAATTTGGGGTGCAAACTGATAGGGTTGACAAGGTATTTTTTTGCGTGATTTCACCTAAAAATCACTTGTTTTTGAGTTATTGCTTTTCAATCTAGAGCGCAGTTAGTTGGGACCACAAAGAAAAGGTGGAAAAACACGCCTCCCAAAAAGACTATTCTGCAGGATTTGGAGGCAAATTCGGAGTGCAGACTGATCGGGTGGATAAGGTATAATAAGCGCGTTATCCGGTACATTGCCAATGTAATCAAACAACTTCCAGAGCGCGATGAGTTGGGACCACAAGGAAAAAGTCGAAAAACATGCGTCCCAGAAAGACTACGTGACGGGTTTTGGTGGCAAATTCGGCGTGCAAAGCGACCGACAAGATAAATCGGCTGTTGGTTGGGATCATATTGAGAAGGTTGAGAAGCACGAGTCGCAAAAAGGTTGGGAACATGCCCCGGCTACAATTTTGAGGGAATTATAAATTTGAAAAAATTTCAGACTACGTAAAAGGCTTTGGGGGGAAATTTGGAGTGCAAACAGACCGGCAAGACAAGTCGGCTGTTGGTTGGGACCATCATGAAGCCCCCCAGAAGCATGAAAGCCAAACCGACCACAAGGTTGGCTTTGGCGGAAAATTCGGTCTGCAAACTGATAGGTTGGACTTTCATGGACTGGTTCCTTTACATTGCATATATTTAATGTTTTCATTCCAGAGTGGATAAATCAGCCGCAAACTTCGACGAACCTGGAAAAGTGGGAACGAATTACACGAAAGTTAAGCCCGACATTGGAGGGGCTAAACCATCGGACTTACGGGCCAAATTTGAAAGCATGGTCAGTGAATTTTAACGCATTTGAAACCCCTCTATGAGTTCGGGTTTACTTGTAGAATTCGGAAAGCAGCCAATCGAGTTCGCATGTAAGTTCGCCAGCGCCGAAAAAGAGCATACATGCCAAAGCTGCGATCTTCGCAGACAGTAGTCAAGAAAGCTCAATTCCTCCAAGTCCCGAGAAGCAGGCGAGCGCCCCCAAACAACTTGCTTCATCCAAGGTGGCCTTCCTGCAGCCAAATTCTACCCCTGGTGAGTTTTTATGATCAATTCACCCCAACCGCTGAGTAATTACATAGTAATTAAACCAGAGCAACCGGAGAAAAGCGCGCCTCAAAAAATGAACCCTAACAAGCTTGCTCAGTTCACAACTGCTCAAAGCGAAGCCGCCGAAAGTGCCAACTCAAACAGTTCAATTAAAGAGGAACTGGAATTGCTGAAGCAGTTGCAGAGGCAGAAACAAGAAGACACCGATGAGGAAGTCGGGTCGACCAGCGAAGTGCATGAGACCTATGCAGATGTCCAGCCGCCAGAACAATTTACGCAACCCGTGAGTAGAACAACCCGAAAAAGTGTTTCAAAATAGTATTTTTTTATTTTTTTTAAGAAACCGCCTCAAAGTCCGGAACCAGAGCAGCTGCCTGTGGTAAGTTCAACCTCTGACCAAGAGGAGCCGGAATATTACACTCAAGACGAAATTGTTGATACTGGTATAACCGCTGTTGCTCTGTACGATTATCAAGCAGCCGCTGAAGATGAAATTTCCTTTGATCCCGATAACCTAATAACGCACATTGAGAAGGTAAGTCGGAAGTACTTTGCGGGTTTCGACCATTGATTCAACCTTAACATTTTAGATTGATGAAGGATGGTGGAGGGGTTTATGCAAAGGAAAGTATGGACTGTTTCCCGCAAACTACGTCCAATGCAATGAGTCTTGAGTAGGCACAACTCGCGATATTTTTGCCTGTGCGAAACCATTTCGAAAGTTTTGTTATTTGTATTAATGCGGTCTACCTACTTATATCAACATTTTACTTGTCTTTTGTTTAGTGTTTTTAATTACGAGATGTATACATTTATTATATTGCTACAAAACGAAACTGTATGATGCAGGTTTTTTAATAAAAAAATAAAAACTAGTTTTTATTTAAATTCAACTCCAAAGGACTTCGTCGCTGTACTTTATTGTAATATTCCCGTTTCCATTGCACAGTTCCAGATTTTTTTCATAAAGCCCAGAGTATCCATTGGTGTAGTTTTGGTAGCCATAAACGCTCACGTATCGCAAGGTATAGTCGCAATCTGCGGGTAAACCATCGACGGTAACTTCGGTTTTAGTGGCCGAAAATTTCAAGAGATTTTTGTCCTTCAGCAAGCTTCCATTGGCTTGGCAGTTTTCCTTTGAGGTGCAATTGAGCGCGATAATCAGCTCGACTGTTGTGGATTTCTGAAATGTGCTTCTTTAAGCTTGCATTAGGCCAAATGAGGGAAGTTTCCTAACTGTTAAAGGGATAATATTGCCTTGAGCCACCAGCATGGTCCAGTCCGATTCGAGGGCATCGATGTCGAAATACTCGGAGTCTTCTTGGGGTGCAAACATCGTCCCGCCCCAGAACTCATACCAAACCGCTTTTTCCTTGGGCAAGAACACCTGCAGCTTGTTTTTTCCTACGCTTAGAGGGTGAGCGACAATAAGTTCACTACCTATGGTGTATTGCCTGAAAGGTGCGTTTTTTATCGGTTGCAAAGGCCTGGACTTCGCCACTCACCCTTCCATTGAAAAAGTTACGTTATTCTTGAAATAGTCGTAATACATTGGGCGGACTAGCGGCGCTGGGTTCTGCAGAAGAGTGTAATAGTAGTCTTGTAACAGTTTTCTTCTTTCCATTGCGGCCCGGACAATATTCGCCGCGAATTGGGAGTTGAGATTAGCGGGATCTCGGAATACGTCGCCTAATGAACCATGGAGGATTTATCCAGCAGTTTTTGCTCCGGTGGAAATTACCTGATGAGACGCGGAAGTAGGGCATGGTTGCTGCGGCGATATACCATCTGATGCATAAAGCTTCGTGCAGGGTCTTGTTATATGAGGCTGTGTCTCCGCATATCGGCAAGCCGACCAATCGGTTTCCTGAAATTTTGCATGTATTTTTCAAAATGAAACACCCACTTACCCAAGGGCCAGGGGAGGGGGCCATGACCCCCATTCAATTCTCTATCCAACGATGCCAAAACGAATTCTGTGGCTCGAATGGTTCTTGAGAAAATTCGAAAAAAGCAGCGTCATGTTCAAGTGGA